TGTGTCCTCTCTAGATTTATTAATCATGTCTTGCATTATAGGCACAATCTTTGCTGTTATCTGAGAAATTATTTCTGATTTCATTTTTTCCAGGTCCTCTTTTGTTGCCAGTTCAGGGAGTCCAGGTGGTTGAGTATCAGTCTGTTCCATCTTGTTTCCCTTTGGGGTTGCTGTAGGTGATCCGGAAGTCTGTTTTTGAGGCTTGTTTACATGTCTTCTCATTTCCCTGGTGGGGGAGGGGGGTGCTGCTGGCACCCGCACGGCTCACCTCCTCTGCCCTAGGAGCAGTGGAACGGTGGCAGGGGAGCCTCCTCCTTGGCACTGGGATTGGCTCACCTCCTTTGTCCTATGAGTGGTGGAATGGCAGCGGGGAAGCCTCCTCCTGGGCACTGGGATTAAATTATGGTACATTCTAAATGGATTACTACACATAGCAATGAAAAAGAAAAGTCTAAAATTGTATGTAATGATATGGATGAACCTTACAAACACAATGTGGCTCAAAAAAAGTCACCCATAAAAGAAATCATCCTCTATGATCTCATTTCTACAAAGTTCAAAAGCAGGGCAAATTATTCTTCCAGAATTCCAGATGTTGGTTATTTGTGGAGAAGGAGAGAAGCTAGAGACTCAAAAACAGCACACAATGGAGTTCTTGGCTCAGATTATTCTGTTTCTTTCTCTGGGAACTGGTTATTTTGGTGTGTTCATGTTGCAAGACTTTTTGAGTCAAATAGTTATGATAGGCTCAATTTCTATATGTATACAATATTGAATAAAAGTGTTATGTGTAAAAAGAAACATAAAAGTAAATTTAAATGCTCTTTAAAACAAGCCCAGTTTAACCAGTTCTTTTGGATAACAGATACTGAGCCTGGGTCAAGAGTATAACCTGACCCCATGTCAAGAGCCTCTTTCCTAGCAGTTCTCACCTGTGTTCCGTCCTCCTCTTTTCTTTCAGCCTCCGGCTTCTCATTGATGACCAGCCTCTCCGAAGTGACCAAAAGCTACAAGGCGTTTCAAATTCCCCACAGTCCCTCCGCCTGGGTGGGAGTGCTTTCGAGGGTTGTATCAGCAATGTTTTCTTCCAGAGGTGGGTGATCTTTTCTGTGTGGGTATTGATGAGAACAGCTTACTGTTCTGGCCCTACCTTCCTCCTTCCACAATCCTAGTCAATAAGGTTTCCCCCACTCCTCCCTCTGTCTTGTGGCTGTGGTACTCAGGTGGGAAATACAAACTTACTAGAACCCATGATGGTTAAGAATGTTATTTTTTTGCTGGGTGTGGTGGTGCATGCCAGTAATCCCGGTACTTGGAAGGCTGAGGCAGGAGGATCACTATGAAGCAACTTTCATTTCTGCCCCATTCCAGGTTTATGGAGAGCCCTGAAGTCCTAGATTTTACTAATAAATCTACCAAGAGAGCTGTGTCCCTGGGAGGCTGCAGTCTGAACAAACCACCTTTCCTAATGTTACTTAAAGGTTCCACGAGGTTTAACAAGGCCAGGACCTTCAATATCAATGAAGTAAGTGTCAAAGCCTTGCCCTGGCTTCACTTCCAGTTCAGTGTTCTCCTGGGCCAGCCAGGTGGCCGATGGTGGGAAGGGAGAGGGATCACCAGCTCCATAGTGGTCAGTGCCTCTGTGAAGTGGCATTCACAGCCATCTGCAGTTGAATTGCATCTAAATGACAAAACGATTCTCTTTTTGGCTTTTGTTTTGTATCTTTTTGAACATTTGCCAAATTTTTCAGTCACAGAACAAATAGAACCATAACTGAATACAGTGGGTTTGGCCTTGGTGAATGCAAAGCTAATAAGTACAACCAGGAGGTAGGAGGGTAAAGAAAGGTTTATTCCTTGCAGCCAGTAAGGAGATGTTGGGGAATAATTCTCAAAGCAGTGCCTACCATTAAACAAAGAAAGCCAGGGGCTTTCATAATCATATTGAAGACTATCATCTCACTTGTAGAGGTGGGCACATTCCTAAACATGTTCAGCTGGAGATCATGCTTTGTCTGCGGCTATACCACCCTGAATGCACCTGATCTCATCTGGAGATCATGCTTCTTCATACATTGCATGCTCAAAAACGGCAGACAGAGTTGGGTGTGGTGGCACATGTCTATAACCCCAGCACTCTGGGAGGCTGAATTGGGAAGATTGCAAGTTCAAACCCACTCTAGGCAACTTAGTAACTTAGCAAGACTTTGTCTCAAAATTTAAAAACGGAACAAACTAAACTAGAAGGCTGGGAATGTAGCTCAGTGTGAATGACCTGGTTCAATTCCTAGGACCCCCCCTTCCCCCGCAAAGAAGTGAACAGAAGCACTCCCTGGGCAGAGAATGTAGCGCCATGATGAGGTTATAATAGGCGAAGTTTCCTCTAGGTCACCTAGAAGAGGCAGCCTTGATGACTTATACCAGTTCCTTGTGGTTTCTCTGGAGAACCTTATCTGGAACAAACAAACAAAAACTTTAAAGAAACATTAACAGCTATTTAAAGGGACCCCTGTCCAGGGTTGACAATTGCCCCTAAAAATTACCTGCCTTGTGGCTAACAGAAACTTTACTCAAGTTTCTGAATTTCTGTAGCTGATGCACTCTCTTTGGACAGCTCTGCCATGTCTATAGCAGTCCAGTGATTTTTCTCCAGAATAGAAGGGCCATGCCCCTCTCCTGCCTGCAGACATCCCCTCTGCCCTGAAGGGACTCCTACGAGAAGGTACGCATGTGCAGTCAGGCTAGGGGGAAGCCATGGGTTTAACTTTTCTTTGAAATTCCAGGCCAGAGGCTTTAGGAGTGGGACCAGGCATTACTCCCAAGGGATTCCAGTGTGCCACACCCAGAGAGTCTGAGAGGAAGTGCCACTCCAAGTGTGCAAGAGTGGGAGACATTGCAAACTGAACATTGGTTGGGTCTTAAGGAAATTGTTGCTCTGCCCAGGGTCAACAGTGTAACCTCCCATGTCTGGGGTTACAGTGAATAAGATTAATGGATAACATCAAGCACCCCAATCTGCTAGGCATTCACTAAGCCCTACCTCCAAGTGGATTTTCTTACCAAGTCCTTCACCTTGTGCAGTACGTACTGTTGCTAGCCATGTCTCACAGAAAGGGCTGCAGCTGGAACGGGTGAGCAGTTTGGCCAGCTCCCTGGGTGAAGGTGGAGGTGGAATTCCAGCCCTGAAGCCAATGCCCTCTGAACAGCGATCCACTCCGCTCAGCACACTTTTCACTTAACCTCAACTGTGTGCTGTTTGCTAATTTTTCTGTGCTGCATGATGATTTGCAGAGTATGAGTGGATAATGCATAAGAAGTGTTTTGGATTCACTTCATGAATCCAAAGGTTTGTCATTTTACTGCTGCCAGAGGAGCATCTTTGGAATTGTCCCTTCAGAAATGAAGCCATATATTCATTTTTTCATTGTAAGACCGATAGCCACTGAGAGACAAATCAGCACAGTCTCAAGCTTTTTAGAGGATAGAATATGCTGGACTCAGACAATGCTTGGATTTGGGAGACCAGGGAGAGAGAGGACAATGTGAGGCATCCAGTCTGATGAGTCCATGGAGATTCCATGGAGATCGGAGGACAAGGATGGGGAGGGAAAGAGAGGAAATGGAGTCGTTGGTGTGTTGTGTCCCGGTTATCTGCAGGGTGCCCAGTGGACGCGGTTGGTGGGACCAGCGCTGTTACTGTGGGAGATGCTTGTGATTGCACTATTTAATTTCCCCTCAGTTCTGTGCAAGCCCCAGATCGGATAGAAGATGTTAGTCCTGCTTCTAATAGCCCAGTAGCAGAGAGGATGCAACAAGCTTAGGGCTGAGTACTGGACCTCAGGCTCAGACTTCTGGGGTTCACACTGGGCTTTATCACTGGTTAGATCCATGCCTTTGAATAATTACTTAAACCCTCTTGCTACAATGTAAATGAAGATAAATAATGGTCATATCTCGTAATGTTGCTGTGAAGATTAAATGACGAAATGAACATAAAACACTTGAAAAGGGGCCTGGCATGTAGTAAGCATGTAATACATGTTAAGTGGTTTTTGTTTTGTTTTTTTGGTACCGGGGATCAAACTCGGGTCCTTGCACTTGCAGGCAGCAGAACCACTGAGCTAGATCCCTGGCCCATGTTAGTTATTACTACCATGCATCATAAGAAGACCCTAAATGAGAGGGACCCAAAATGCTACAGGAATGGTGCAACAGGAATTTTCCTATCATGGAAATGAGGGGGGTTCTTGTGGAGGAGGTGACCCAGGAGCTGGAGCTCCCAAGCATGGGTCGAGTCTAGATGTGTGAATATTGGTGTTGCCTGAGCAGAAGCCCAAAGCTGGAGACAGGATGTGGGTGACACAGGTACAAGACACTTTGCATGCATTCTGTGATCCTCCCAAGGCTTCATGTGGGCTCTTTCTGTGTGCACCACACCCTTCTGAGAACAGAAGAAAACCCTAACTTCATGGGCCAGGAAACCGCATTTCAAATATTTGCCCAAGATCACCCTGTCAGTAAATGGTAGGGTCAGCATTCGAACTTACGGCTGTAAAATCCCAGGGAATTTCCTCTGAAAGCCTTGTGTAGGCTGAGAAAGCACGATGAACAATGGGAAATTATGTGGAGAAAGAAGATGGGTGGCAGGGGGCGGTAACTCCAATCACACCCTAGCAACAGATCAGGCAAACCTTGTGTGACCTCTGTTAACTTGGTCAGTTTCAATAGCCACTGTAAAGCCATGAAAAGGTGTGCTTTAACCTTCTTAAAAGATTAAGGATTACGAAACTGGCAGCAACCTATGGGATGGTTAGGTGGAGGAAAATTCTAGGGGCAAGGAGTTAAACCAGCAAGCTATTCCAATAGCCCCGGCAGGAGAGTCAGGCTGACTTTCAGGGCAGAAACACCAGAAAGGCAAAGAGTGGAAACAAAATAGGTCCTAGAGAGGAGCAGCAGGACATGATATGGTTTGAAAGAGGCCAAGGAGCTGGGTGTCCATGATGACTCAGACTTTGAGCCCAGCTTCTTTGAAACATAATGAGAATTAAGGAAGGGTTGGTGGCAAAGGGTGATGACCAAAGCTGTTCATCTTGATGTTACTGTTAATGTTGATGAGGTCCTCCCACCCTTCCTGCTGCAAAAGCTCCAATGCATGGCCAGCAAGGGGAGATGGCAGTTCTGTGGCTCAATGTCCCACTGGCGGGCTGTGGCTGCCTTGTGTTGCTGGCCACATGCAGGCTGTCTAAGGGGCGCTGCTTCTTCCAGGGCTCCATGATGGGGCAGTGTGCTGGGCACCTGCAGGTGCCACAGCTTTCCAAACCGAGACCAGATCATATAGGATGAGAATAATGCACATCCTCCCCAAAGAGAGCAAGAGAAAGTCTATTTAGAGGCTCCGAGACTTGGGCTCCCCAAAGAATGATGCCCTGCCCCTTCCAGTCCTAGTTTTTACCTCCCTAGAGGCAAAAGGCCCACATACAAAGCCACACTAGGACACTGACTGGCTGAGAAGCTGAGATGGGCTCTGGCTCTCCCTTCTCCCCTGCTCAGTGCCAACCAGTGACCCGCAGGAAGGGCTCTCGGTGGGAACTTCCTGTCCCCGTGGGACCGTTTGCTGGAGAGTGAAAACTGAGCCAGGTGCCGGCCAAGATAATCTTTCTTCTCTCCGCACCCTGGCAACTAGCATCCTAATCCCGCGCTCCTCTCCCATGCAGATGTTGCAGGATGCACCAGCCGCCTCCCCCAGCAGCATGGAAGTGTGGCGAGACTCAGAGCTTTGCTCACCCCCAGTTGGGGCCCAGATCAGTCACAGAGCCCTCCAGTTTGGGGACAGTCCCACCAGCCACTTGCTATTCCAGCTTCCCCAGGAGTTGCTGAAACCCAGGTATTTTTAAATTTTCCTGCTCCAGGGCCAACTCAGAACCCAACTGCAGTTCTACCCTGGGAGTGTCCAGCTGGCATGACACCGTGCTCCTGTCACGAAGGCAGGTGGCACTACCATTCTTGTGAAGAGCGGTGCCAGCCTGCATAGGACCATGGGGAGCGTGATTGCGGGACATGTGCTCCCTGCAGCTGGGGTGCAAATGTGACGGGCACCACTCGGGGGCTGAGACAATGGTTTGGAATTGACGGTGTTCTAAAAATAAGGCTGATTTTGTTCCCGAAGCTGCTATTTATTTCTATGACAAATCACCTTCCCTTGCTCTCTGTAGCAAAAGGAAAAGTACTCTTTCAGGAATCCTTGGTGGCAGATAGAACGTTTTTAAAGAATGCATTCTGACTTTTTGTGCTAGCACATTGCATCTCTTTGTGGGAGGAGTGAATGAGCAGAAATATTAATGATGTCAGGAGAAAGGAGAAAAGCAAGGCTTGTCATGTTCAGGTTTGAAGGAGACATAAAGAAAAGGGTCCAACTATTCCTTCAAGACTTCTCTACAGAGGCAGAATTTCAGGGGCCGCAAGGACCCGGCTTTCAGTCCCTGCACGGCCATGTACTGGTCATGTGGCCCCAGGCTGTGTGCCAGCTCAGCCGCTTGGAGACTGAGATGCTCAGATGAAATAGACAGCCACAGACAGGGTTTAGTGTGGGCAAGAGAACAGATGCTGGGAGGGGCCTGAAAGAGCCTGCAGCTGGGATGGGGCCTGTAGAAGAAGGCCGGGAGAGGGGCTCAGACTGCAGGGCAGCTCACAGGAAGTCAGCCAGGCCCAGGGGCACCCCAAGCACAGATCATCTGAGAGGGCCCGGCATGCAGCCGAAGTGTCCGGCCTAGTCTGCCTGCCACTCTTATCCCAGGCTGGGAGCAGCTGGGTGTTGTTGCAGACCCCAGGCTGGGGCAGTGGGGGGCAGCCAGGGCACTGTGCCCATGGTGGGGGGGGCGTTCTCAAAGGGAACACATCTTTGTGGCCACCACAAACCACATAACTTTTCTAAGCCTGAGCTCTCCGTCTGTGCCTGTCCCACATGCTCTCGAAAATCACTACCGCTCTGTGGACCTCCATTTTCTCTTCAGTTAAATGGAGTTGATTGTGCAATCCTTGCAGGAAGGAGAGGCAATGACCAGGAAGGAGGCTGGCTCTTAGAAGCCCACTCAGTAAGCCATGGGCATGATTTGCTAGCAGGTAGATGTGAAGGCCAAGGAGGAATTGAATTCTGCATTGAAGCAGGGCACGGTGGTGCACACCTGTAATCCAAGCACTCTGGGAGGCTGAGCCAGGAGGAGTGCCAAGTTGAAGCTTGGCCTGGGTAACTTAGCAACTTGGTGAGACCTTGTCTCAAAATTTAAAAAATAAAAAGGACTGGGGATGTAGTTCAGTGCAAAGGGCCTGAGTTCAATTCCTGGTACACAAAAAAAGTGCAGCATTCAGTAGAGGAAATTATCAGGCAGTGCCAAGTCAGTGGCAAGACTTGGGGTCCTTCATTTGGCAAAACTGTGCTAACAGGAGACTGAGGCAGGGGCAGGGGATTGTCCCGTAGCCCCGGTGACTTCCCAGTGGTGAGGCCCCACTGCCTGGCCCTGGCCCCTGATCAAGCTGACCTTAATGGCCAAAGAAACGGCAGCTACAGATGCTCTCTTTCCAGCCCTGCCCCACCCCACCCTGCAGCCCACTCTCTCCCCCTGCACTTTGAGTGAGGTAAGTTTTCCAGCTTTTTTTGGTAATTCAGTCTCCAGATTTAGTCCTTTCACGTCCAGCTCTAAATTATACATCATAAATGAAAAAGGTAACATTTTAAAAGTTAAAATGAAAAAGCAATCAATCATTAATAACTACTAATTTTAAACCATTTAAATGCCAAATTTTGCAGCAATCAGATTATATTTTCAGGAATTACAAGCTTATATTTACAATGCTTTCCATTCTAGCAACATTTGACTCTCTTCCCAAACCAGTACCATTATTTTAACCCCAAGGTGAACATATGAAAGTACAATTTCCCATCCCCTCCTCCAGCAATGAATAGTCAAAGCTACGGTATCACATTCCAGGATTTGAATCCACTGCGGCCTTTTCAAGGTGTTAGTCAGTTAGTCTTTTCTGAAAGAAAATTGCTTTAGGAACAGTTCTGGGAAACAAACGTCAAGTGTGATCACCAGGCTCACACGCTTGATGATGTGCTTCCCCTTCTGGAGCCTCTCCCTGCCAGCATCCGCCCGCCCTCTGTGGGCCAGCCCCATCCTCCAGCCCCCCTCACTCACACACACCGCCGTAGCCATCTGGGCGATTTCATCTGACAAATACGAATTTCTTTTTCCTTTTGAAGAATGTTCCCCTCCAGGAAACTTGCTAATCTGAAGATTACATCTCAGCCTCACAGTATTGAAAAGCAAAGAGAATAAACAGTGTAACTCTTCCTGCCACTTCCAGGTTCTGCCTCCAGAATTTCCATTTACTGCTTAATTCAATTCAGTAATTATTTATTGAATCCCTGCTAGGTACTGTGCACTGGGGATGCAGCTAGAAGCAGGGCCAAGCTAGCTCCTGCCCCAGTCTCCTGTGTGCTGAGACATTAGCCCTCAGCAATGCAGGATGACAGCCAGCTGCTGTGTTTCCACCACCTGTTCGTGCCATATCTTTAGGATCCCTCTCAGGGTACCCAGGGACAGTGCACAGCACAGGAAGGCACCATACACATCTGCCTCCCCAGAGTCCAGCACAGAGCCTTATATTTGCTATGCTCTGTGATTTGCCGAATGGGGGGGATGGACAGACATACATTTTCATAGACAGTAACTCTTTCTCAGCCATATGTACACATCCCATGCAACCATTCATGCTCGTGAATGTTACCTTTCAACCTCTGCTGTGATTACACAATATTTAGTTCCTCTTCCACCATAGATGAAGTATGAGGGTGGGAGAGTCATAGAGGTAGGTGAATCTTTACTCCTGTGCATTAATGTTAAAAGAGTCTTACAGAGAGAGGAAGTGCTCACCCAGTGATTGGATTGCATCCTGGTTCAGTGCTGATCCTTACTCCTACAACTTCCCTCTCTGTGAATACACACAAACAGAATGCATATTCATTGGGCTTAAGGAGCTCAGGCTACTAAGTGAAACAAGCCAGCCACAATCAAACAAATACTGTCTGATTCCACTTATGTGAGGTACCTGGAGCAGGCAAATCAATCCGTACAGACAGGAAATAGAATGGTGGTTGCCAGGGGCAGGGGGAGAGAGGTATGGGACAAACCTTTGTGCATGCACTGGAAAAATGGGAGTTTGGGTATATGCAGCACAACCCCTCTCCGAGCTGTGAGATGGTGAAAAGCAACAACAACCTCCCTTCCTTCCTTTCCTGTTGCTTTCTTTTCTCCACAGGTCAGAGTTTGCTGTGGACATACACACAACCTCCTCCGGGGGGCTGGTGTTTTACACGGGCGCCAAGAACTCCTTCATGGCTCTTTACCTGTTGAAAGGACATCTGGTCTTTGCTTTGGGGGCAGAAGGCAAAAAACTGAGGCTCAAAAGTAAAGAGAAATACAATGACGGGAAGTGGCATACGGTAAGATCTTGGCTACCTTACAACAGTTTGAGCATTCTGAAAAATCCAAAATCCAAAATGCTCCCAAATCCCAACATTTTGAGCAATGACATGGTGCCACAATGGAAAATTCTAGACCTGATCTTGGGTTTTAGTCAAATTGCAAGCAGGTCAAGAACATTGTATAAAACTGCTTGGTGGGGGAGATGTAGCTCAGTGGCCCTGCCTCGCAAGTGCAGGGTCCTGAATTCAATCCCTAGTCCAAAAAAAAAAAAAAAACTACTTGCGGGTTATATGTATATAGTATATATGGACATAAGTGGAATTTTGTGTTTGGACTTAGGTCCCATTCTAGGATATCTTATTATGTACATGTGAATATTCCAAAATCCAGAAAACCTGAAACTTCTAACACGTCTGTTCCCAAGCATGTCAGTGAGGGATATTCAGCCTGCACCTCTAGCCAGGGTGAAATTCACTGTCCGAGCAACTGAAAACAGGAGCCAGCACCCTTCCTAGGCCCACAGGCACGAGCGTCAGGAGAGCCTGTGTGGGCCGAGGCGTGGGCACCCAGCGTCTTGGTGCTGGGATTGCTGCACACACTGTGTGTCACTGATGCCCTAAATGCCCAGGTGAACTTCGCCACTGCTCCTTAGAGCCCCTCCATCCTCACCCAGCTGCTTTGTCCCCTGGCCTAATCCACCCTGCTTCCTGGGCCATTTGCCTCCTGCAGTGGCCACTTCCAGGCCTGCAGATTCTTCTGTGGGCCTGAATGCCTTCCCCATCACACAAGCAGAAAGACCCACAGCCCAAGCATCCCAGCTGTGGCCTCAAGGCAGACCAGAGTTTTTAAAATACAATATAAGCCCAGAAGGAAACTGATACTCAGATAACCTAAGTGACTTGGCAAGTTTCGGTCACTTAGTCACTCAACAGCTAGTCCCTGAGCTGCTCTACTGGAGCACATGAACACAAAATTCTCAATATAACGTCAGCTACAGGTAAGTGCCTCCAGAAAACACTGGAGCAAGGTCAGGAAATGACAAAGCAGAGTAGAAAGACTGTTTTGGAGCTGGAAGTTAGGAAAGGCCTCCTGCAGAGGGAGACCACCGTACGGATTTATACGGGTCCTCCAGGCAGAGGAAAAGGCAAATGTAAGGACCTCCAGGTGGGAATTAGCCCATGGGACAAACCGCAGAGCTAGGAGAGGCATTGGAGCAGGAGCCAGGGCCAGATTATTAAGCTTTGAAGGCCAACCTGAGGACTTTGGATTTCGTTGCAGGTGTCTCTGCAGTGTAGGAAGAGAGTTAAATTAGTAAAGAAGATTATGTTTTTTTACCTCTCTTCAGCTGAAGAAATAGAGGGGTTAGATGTAGAAGTTGGGGAGGGGAGGCCCGGGATTTAGCTCAGTGGTGCCACTGCCTGCCTCAAAAGCACAAGGTCCCGAGTTCAATCCCTGGTACCCCCCCCCCCAAAAAGAAGTAGAAGTGGGGACCAGATGGGGGCTATTGTGTCTGGAGAGACTGAGGTGGAAGTGCAGAGCTCGGGTCTGGATGGGTTCAGGAGCAGAGCAGAGGGCTGGCCAGCGGCTGCACAGGGAGGGGGAGAGAGGAGTCGGTACCGCAGTGCTCTGGCAGTAGTGGGCGCCTGCTGAGGTGGAGAAGTGGAGAGAAGGCCTGGGACCACAGAGAACAGTTTCGGGCTGGGGGAGACTAGCAGCCCAGACACGCCTTCCCATGTGTCCCGACAGGGAGGCCCGAGGCCGCGGCTGGACATGGACACTGGAGAGACGGCAGAGTCCACAGTAGGGCCCAGGAGTCCTCACTCGTAGCAGAGAGTTGAAGGCCTTGGCCCTGTGTTAGAAGACAAGGGGCTGCCTTCTTGCTCTAGGAGCCTCCCAAGCACACAGTCAACTGCCGCTCCTCTCAGCTCTACACAGACTCCTCCTTCCCTTCCTTGGGAAGATCCTTGTTGATTCATGTGCCTCTGGTTGCCCATCCTTGGTACAAATTTCCAGATCAATTGTATCTGTTTATTTACTTCACTTCTGAGCAGCCTTTTATTTATCAGCCCTTCGCACTTAGTTTGTTCAATATCTAACACAGTCTCACCAAACAATGGTGATGAGTGTAAACAGAAGCAAAACCTCATTCTTTACAGCAACAGAAGGGCAGGAAATGTTTTTAGAAATGTCCTGTGACTACTATTAAAATACAGCAGCGATGATCAGAGGTAAGGACTTGACACGCGTGCTCTCTTGACTCTGCAGGTGGTGTTTGGGCAAGATGGCCGAAGGGGGCACCTGCACATAGACGGGCTGAAGGCCCGGGAGGGCAGTTTGCCCGGAAATTCCACCAGCAGCCCCAGAGCACAGGTTTACCTGGGGTGGTCTCCATCAGGGAAGCCAAAGGTAAACATGGATAAAACCAATCCACCTTATAATGTCCCCATCATAAGGATAGAAGATGTGTAAGAATCTCAAAGTGCTTCAAATGTTTTTGAAAATACCGAATGTTCACAGGGCCACAGAGAGGGCCCCACTCCTCACTCGGAAGCTTTCCTGCATTAGGTCCAGGTTGACACAAGCACCCAGATAAGGAGAGTGCAGACCTTCTCCATGTCTCTGTCCACATGAGGCCTGTAGCTCCTCTGCCAGGAAATGCACACACAGCCTAAGGCTTAGGTAGAAAGCAATTGTGGATTAAGCATGAGGTCCACTTTAGTAATGTATGCCACCTTCGCCATCTTTGCTGTACTCAGGCAAAGCATTTGCTTTGTAGTTTGCTAGTGAACTTGGCTGTGTTTTTAAAAGGCTTTTTTTTCCCTCTCATAAACAGAAACCCAATATCCTTTGCCATAAATAGTACAAAATGGTAAAAATAAATACACGAAAATGAAACAGTGTTATTAGCTCAGTGGTATGGCCTGCCCCCTTTCATTTGGAGAAACAGCAGCTTGCGAAGTGACCAGGGGGTGTTCAAGACATATTAGCTCAGAGCTGAAATTTGTCACTTGTCCTAATTAGAGGGCTCACTGGAAAACTGAAAAAAAGGAAGAAAGCGGGAGGTATCGCTCAGTGAGAGTAGGTTTGGCATATGCAAGGGTCTAATCTCCAGCCCTGAAAGAGGAAGGAAAGGAAGAACATAATAGGGCTAAGGGAAAGTCAGGGCTCCCCTGTCCCCAGGGAGGAGGACATTTGGCGGGTGTGTCAGGTTCAGAGGCTGTGCTGGGCCTCAGCCCAGGAGCCAGCTCTGCGCCTGCCACCTCCCATCTCTCCTGCACCTGGCAGAGTGTCAGTGGCACCTGGGTCACCTGGGGTGCCCTCATGCACTTGACTGTCTTCTCCCACATTTGCCCTTTTCTCTCACAAAGTGAAGTACAATGGTCCTGTCAACAGCTCAGGCTGCCGGCCAATTCTCCCCCTTTCCTTGAGAGCTGCTGGTATGTTCTTGTCTAATTGCTTGCAGTGAGGCAGGGAAGGGCCCTGATGCAAAGGTGGGCTAAGAAGTGGACATAATCAAGGCAGGTTTTTCTCCACCAGCTTGGACTCCAGGCCTTCAGCCTGAGCTAGCCAAGCCAAAGCCTCCATAAGCCACTGCCTGGCCTGCTGGAATTTTGCTCGATTTGAGCCAAAGCCCCAGCAAGCAATAAAGTTTTACTTTGTTTTCTCATGTATAGTAACTTTTACATGTATATCATACATAAATTATAACTTGCTTATATTCTATGCACAATAACACGTATGTAATGTAGAATATATTCATTGCTGTAGAGGGTCCTCAGTGCTGATGTAGATTTTCTCCCTCTTGGAGAAATCACAGGATGGCACAATTTGGGTACACTTCTGACTGCTTAGGTTCTTTTAAAATCACCTTAATCATCCCTGGCTTCCTAGCATCTGGGACCAATAGCAGCATTCATTACAATATCCTTAACAACCAGGGTTCTTTCCACTGCCTCCTGCAACCCTGGTGGTATAAACCATCTTCTTTGTCCTCCTCCACAGCCTTTCCAAGGGCACCTTCCCCGCTTGGCCTTTAGCAGTTCAGCGCCAGGTTATAGCCACCTTGGGAAGTACGTGCTTGGTTTCAGGTTCAGATTTTTCACTGGGTAGCAGGACTCAAGTGTGGGCCTAGAAATGGACATAATTAAGGCAGGTTTTCTTTACTAGCTTGGACTCCAGGGCTTTTTAAGAAACTAAAAACTTCATGAGGAGACCAGCCAGCAGTTTACCATTGATGTGAGCCTTACATTCATTGCTAACATCACCCTTGTCTCTCAACATTACCATATCCTGAATCTGTTGTGTAGGATTCCAGGGCCCTGATAGCATTGGTTCTAGAAGGGAGTTAGGGAGTTTGTATTCAATGATTCTTAAGATTTTTTTGAGAATTTTACAAACATCTTGAGAATCTGTGAATATGTTGTAGTCCTTCTCTCCAGAAAAATGTACATTCAGAGAATATCTGGGATGTGATACAAGGGAATACAAATCCTCAGAAGCCCAGCCTTCGGGCCAGAGCAGAGTGGGCCAGGGTCCCCCACACGCCCACCCACGATGCACACCCGTAGTGTCCTATTGTAACTGTACAGCATCCGTGCTTTGTTGGTAGTACGCTGAGTCAAATACCGAAGGGAGCTGTTTGGCACTCAATTATTTTGGGAACATTTTGGCCTCATTTTTCAATCAGCCGCCTTGCATTAAGCTCTCACACCAACTCACGAAACCCTCAAGAGTGGTTCATACTGCAAAGCGACGGTGAGATCTGTAAATGGTGAAGTGGAAATTTCCCCACGCCGCAGCTCAGTGTGAGTTGCTCAGGGTTGTGTCCACGCTCTTTTATTCTTACTCCAGAGCAAGGTAGCAATCTCCACACCCCCACAGTCCTGCACTCTCCCCACCTGGCATGGAGATGCCTCTGAACTTCAACACTCCCCCAACATCTGGTAGACAGGTTTTCCTTGACACTCTGGGCAGGGAGCCAAATAGAACAGTCAGGCCCACCTGACTCTATGAAGCAGGAAAAATAAATCTTCTTTTGCCAGTAAGTTTCAACACCCCTTAGCTTGGCTATCCCATGCATATTAGGGAGTCATAGGTAATGACTTTCTTTTCTGCTTGGTTTCAGAATCTCCCCCAAAACAGCTTTGTGGGATGCCTGAAGAACTTTCAGTTGTCTTTAAAACCCTTGGATTCCCCTTTGATGAACTTTGGGGTGTCTCCTTGCTCAAGTGGCTCTTTGGAGAAAGGCATTTATTTCTCCCAAGGAGGAGGTCATGTCAACCTGGGTAAGAAGCAATTTGGTGTAGAGTTCATGTCTCTGAGTCTTTTGTCTTTAATTATGACGCTTTAATTTTGTTCGTTCTTTCCTTTTCAAAGCTAACTCTGTGCTGTTGGGGCCAGAGTTCAAGCTTATGTTCAGCATTCGCCCAAGAAGTCTTGTTGGGATCCTGATACATATTGGAAGTCAACGAGGACAGCACTTAAGTGTTTACATGGAGGCAGGAAAGGTACGGAGCAGTCTGGTGACCTGGGAGTGGGAGGTGGAAACCAGATTCCATTTCTACTATGACTTCCGGGTGAACCTGGCCTTATTTTTAAGTTAGCCTTGGAGATGACTTATCATTTTACTTTAGCAAGTAATTTTATCATCACATTTTTTGTTCTTCATCTTTAAAATTGGAAAAACTCACAAGTCAGGGGGAATTCCAGCTGCGCCACTCAGTTATAGAGCCCTTAGGAAGTTTCTGAACCTCTTTCAGACTCAGTTGTGGTATCTATAAAACAAGGATAGTAATTCTGGTGCCCTAGGGCTTTTGTCCAGATTAGAGAAACTTCCATGGACTTTATAGATGTCCGTTTTCCTTCCTCACCTTCAGTCTCATCGCATCTCTGCTTTTATTCAGAAGGGCAGCACCAGAGTGACCGGGACACGTTTTCCCCGGCTGTCTCCACCATAGCACAGCTGAGCCTGCGAGCTTGTGTCCATGGACTCAGTCCAGACCCTTTTAGTCTGTCCACACTGCTCCAGCCCTCTGGCTCTGCAGCCAAGCTGCTCACTGGGTCCCACACAGGCTTTCCTTTGGTTTCTCATGGATTCTTTCTTCAGTTTCTCCTACCCCATCCTTCCCATTGCTCACAAACCTGCATCAATATCTTATTTTCAACCACCCAGGTATCTCTCCTTCCTTCTCAAAGATATCTCTTTAAAACCAGATGCTTCCAGGAAGCTGCTCATAGTTGAGGCCTTGAGTCAAAAACTGATGCTGTGCTACTTTCTTTTATCTCTATCTTTCTACTATTTATTAAATGTGAGAGAAAACAGCCCCAGGAGAAAATTAAATGGCCCAAACTCCTAGAATACTTTTTCCCCTGGTGCTGAGGATTGAACCCAGGCCTCTTGCATGCCAGGCGAGTGCTTTGTGCTGAGCGACACCCCAGCCCCTCACATACTTCCTACTGAAGCTGTAGACATTACGCCTGAGCAGGTCTCCTGTCTCCCCGAGAAGCAACACGACCCACCTTCCGGGAGGTAGAGATGAGACTATCTTTTCAGAGGAAGGCTGGGAAGGGTCCTCAGTGAGAGTCCCTGGATAGGAACTCTTCTCAAGAAACAAAACCAAGACCTGATGACATTGGCAGTGCTATTGTTTAGCTCAAAAATTGCCTATAATAGATTCTCCATCTAGTTACGGGGAAATTAAATGTAAGCTATTTACAGTGGCACTTAAATGATACGACTTATCATTTACCTTGATTCAACCCTGGAAGGTCCCAGAGGAGCCCTAACTAGAGAGTGGGTAGTGGATTCTGCATAGAGGTGCTGAGTGCTGGCACCGTCAGGTGCCCGGGACAGACACACTCCGTCAGCTTGTTCAATGTCTTGGTCGTAACTGGCTGGCCCTTACCACAGGTTATAGGCCGCCACCAGCATTTTTGTTTTCCAAACTTCATATGTTCTTCTAAACAGAGCCCCTGTCTTAGGAATTGCTAAGAAGGATGGTTGGTGCTCTTCAGTAACCCTGGACGGGGTCTGGCTTGGGAGAAAATGGCTCGTTGCCATTGCCAACAACTTCAGGCGAGACCTGGGTTTATAGCTCGCTTCCCAGGAGTTGGGGGACCATTATTTAAAGTGTTTGTGGACTGTCTGCATGGCAGTGCTTGGGAAGGGAAGAGGGAAAGAAAAGTTGTCTCTACTCACCTTTTGGAAGGAAATAGCAAGATCCATGTGTTGCAGGTCACAGCCTCTGTGGACAGCGAGGCGGGCAGGATATTGACGTCAGTGACACCAAAGCAGTCTCTGTGTGATGGACAGTGGCACTCAGTTGCAGGTAGGACATCCAGGTCCCTATCGTGCACACATTGACACAGTCCCTTTTCATGTGGATTTGAATTTCTCGAAGGCAGCCTCAGTCCATTATTCCTAGCGCCTGACAGGGCAGCTCACCAGCTTAAGTCATTCATCATTCATTGCCCACCCCAGCTATGTGGATGTTATTCGTGGCTGCAGCCTCCAGTTCTCCATAGCTTCCTGTGTTGGGGGATTTGTGTGTGTGTGTGTGTGTGTGTGTGTGTGTGTGTGTGTGTGTGTCCAGCCATTGATAAGTTGTATTCGTTTTCAAGGTAATATAACATTGTGATTTAAGTTTTGGGTTTGATGTCAAAAGGAAAGAGGTCAAATCTCTGCCATCCTTTACCTTGTGTGGCCTTGGGCAAGTGATTTAAATGCTCTTTCCCTTCAGTTTTCTCATCTGTAAAATGGAGATAAAAATAGCATACTCCTCACAGGGTGTGAACATTAATGGAATAGTGAATATAAACTGCTTAGCCCCATGTCTAATAGTAGCATTCAGTAAGTGTCTGCTCTTACTATGGTATAGTTAAGTCTCATTGTTGGGTTATTTTTTCAACAATCAGTTAATGTTAATGTGAACTATTTAGATAAACTAATGGTGGAGAGCAGGCATATCTTCTCAAGTAGAATCTGTTTTTTTTTTTATTAATAACTCATGAGTATTAGTTTAGAGACATGTGAACCTGTATTTGCTAAAATACCTTTCATCAGAAGCAATCTTTGCTTGGCCAATTTGAAAGCTAAATACATTGCAATCAGCTAAGATTGTTAACATGGGCGGAATTTGCTTCCATGGGTCAAAAGTGTGTCAAGCATTTTTGGCATCTGTTTTCAGAAGCCAGTGGCTACTTGGAAAGTAGCTGAGGTCCCATGAAGTGAGCTTGGCTTCTGGAGATGAGATAGCAGAGCTTGAATCCCAGCTCTCTATGAGCCAAGCATCAGCTCAGGTCCTCAGTGAGTCTCAGCCTCTCATCTGGGAAACGGAAATTATAATAATGTCTTCTGCAGAGATTCGTGTTAGGGATCAATTTTGCAATGAATGTGGAAGCACCTCTTGCTGCTTGGCACTAAGAAGTGAGTTGAGGGGGACCGAGCGCCGGCAGCCAGTGTGTCACGGGTCCCATGGGAACGAATCAAACTGAGGCCAGTGGGGACCCCACAGTACAGGAAGCACTCTGCCCCGTGACAGATTTAACCAGCTTCCTTTCTTCCAGTCACCATCAAACAACACATCCTGCACCTGGAGCTGGACAAGGACAACAGCTACACAGCAGGGGAACTCACCTTCCCATCCCACAGCACCCAGGTGTCCCTACACATTGGCGGTGTCCCAGGTGACTGTCATCCTCATTTCTTCCACACCCATTTTGCCCAATGTCAGCTCTTGACATTTTCCTCTTCACCCAGCAAAGATGGTGGCCTCCATGTGGGTCGTGAGCAGGGCAGCCCTCGGCTGGGCAGGGACGGTGAGGCCCTTTGTCCGGCACTTGGGGAAACCTAGCAGCTGGCAGTGAGCACAGCTCAGCACAGTCGCAGCCGCATTACTGCTGCCTCCTCTCTGCCCAAGCCTATAATTTATAAGCCCCCCTTAAGATGTTGCATTAACCCAGAAACCTGATATCAGCAAAGAACCAGGCAGAAAATCCAATCTCTCGTCCCCAGGCATTTATTCTTGCTGCTGAGTTATTAGGCTCAGTGGGGCCAGAATGGGAAAATTGGGCAGGGTGAAATGCAGGCATGTTCAAGACTGGAATTCCACCTGGAAAGAACCTTTTCATTCTTCATTGCTTTGCATCCTTCCAAATAGTCTGTCTGGTTGTTAATGTTATAGGCCTTTCATGACCCATAAAAAGCAGCCGAGTTCAGGTTATTGCCTGTTGATTTGGACTGTGGAATCTCCTTCTCTGAAGAGCTCAGGAGTCGCCTTGTTGCTGATTTATCCCGGCAGGCACAGTGAAGGATGCCCGCTTTAAGAGGAAGAAAGGGCCGGGTGGGACGAGCCATGGGGTCCCCTTTGCTCCTTCTTACAACTCTCTGTAAAGCTCAGTGTGCATTCATTTGGAATGAAGAATTCATCAAGTGCCTTTTGCTTTTGTCTTTCAGCCAATTTGAAGACATTGAACCTCCCAGTGTGGGGGTCATTTTTTGGCTGTTTAAAGAATGTTCAAGTCAACCACAAGCCAGTCCCTATTTCTGAAGCCATGGAAATCCAGGGCTCTGTTCGTCTGAACGGCTGCCCTGAGTACTAACCCGGACCTACCGCACAGGAGGAAACTCACCTGCATGCCTCCCTCCACAACTCAAAGTCGTGCTTGACTCAAGACACCATCGGGACGTGCGTACTGAAAATCTGATTTTGAACTCTGACCACATAGACCCATCATTTTGGCATTCAGTGCAACATATTATTTCACACAAAAATACCATTTCTTGAAGAAGATGAACAAATTGTTATTCAAATATGCACACAATGCCTTAGATAATATTTGTCACTACAATTTGTGCCTTTCATGGAACATTTTCTCCACTTGTCAAAAAATAAATCTCTTTTTAAGCACTTTAAGAATATGAAACTTGTACATATGTTAAAGGATTATAATTTATGGGGTTAAATAAAAGCAATGTACTTTTCAAATTATGTTTTTGAAACATAAAACCAAAGGCTTGATGGTGACTGTTAATCGTATTGATTCTTTAGCACCTGGTCAGTGTGCTGCCTATGACATAGCTTTCTACAAGTAATTATTGAGCACAAACTGGGAGGTTCTGTGTGTTCTCAGTCCATGAACTACAGTGAGGTACAGAAAGTAGTTCTGCCCGTAAGGAATATTCAGTTCAATTGGGGAAACATATAATATTCATAAAGTAGTAGTTAACAAATTGAACTCCTGAACCCATCAATTAATGAAGCCCACCAGCTTCCCAATCTTTTCCTTCCCCAGTCTTCTACCAACCAAGTCTAGATAATTATTACCAATCCCTTGAGGACTCTAACTATCTGATTGGAGAGCTGAGATGGAATAGGTACTGTAACTGAAGCTTTGTATGCCATAACAGAAGTCAGCGGTGGAAAGTTCACGCTCTGAGAAAGAGAAAGAAATCACTTCTAGTTTTTTCTATACAAGAACAAATGGCGTAGTGGGGCAATGTAAATACTCAGCACCACTTTCTCTAACAAAGAATACTATGCAAGCATTTCTGTATCTTCCACATATTATTTGTCCATTGAGAGAAAAATAACAATCCTAAAAATTGGGTATCCTATGATGTCCTCAGAGCTATATGCTCTCCTCTGCTGAAACTGAGTCACACTTCCTTGTTCTTTATGACCATCACACTGCAGTCTTATTCGTATGCTTCCCAACATCATATCAGCACAGCACTGGAATGTTTCAGAGAGGCAGCCAAGTCCCCGACATAGAGGCTCCTCAGAGAGGCAGAGTGGTGGTCTTCAGGAATGCTATGTTGGGTCAGAGGCTGAACTACATGACTAAGTCATGCACTTTCTGAGAACATTAATTTTCAAATGAAAAGTCTCCCAGGCAACTGAGTCAGACTCAGGAAGTGAGTCTATAGGAAAATTATGCGCATATTGTTGCTAGGTCTTCACCAAGCCTATATTCTCTCTTCTGGGCTCCTGATATTAACCTAATTGGATCTACATAGTTATTATTCATTAGTGTTTTTTGTTATCACTTCCCATATCCATCATTAAGGAGCAGTTAACTCCTTACTGACAAGCCCCAGTGATTTCTCCTCTATTTTCTAATAACCTGAAGACAACCTCCCCCGTCTGCATTTGCCGAATATAATTCCAGCCACCAAAAAGCAGCAGAGAGAGTCCCACGTGATTTATATCTAAGGAAACAAAGAGACCTAAGTGTAGTTATTCCATGATTATAAATTTGTTTTCTAGAAAAATTGTCTATAGCTCTTCAACTGAACCATCATGAAAATCATTTGTGAACTGTAAGGTGCCATATGAGCTTTGTCATTGCTATCGTCTTTTTGGCTCATAGGCTCACACTGGGGTAAGTAGGGACATCAAATCACTGGTTAACAACTCTGACCTTGTTACTTCAGGGCCACTATCGGTTCCTGTTGTGGTCTGGATATTGTCCTATTGTTTGAGAACTGCCCCCATGGTCCAGTCTTCAAGGCTTGGTGCTCCAGCATGGGGAATCGGGAGGTGTTACGAGCTTTTACGAGGTTCCTTTCACTGGGGCTGTGCCCTTGAGAAGGACTGTGGTAGTCTGCCCATTCTCCTCCTTGCTTCCTCCCTACCTCTTCACACAAGATGTGACTGCTCTAACACACGCTCCCATCAGAACAAGCCACCGACCTCACCAGAACTGAGCTGATGTAGGCGAGCTGCCTCTGAACCTCCCAAACTGACAGCTAAATAAACCCTTCCTCGTAATGAAGTTAGTTGCCTCAAATATTTTGTTGTAACTTGCAGGTGACTGACACAGTTCCATTTTGGGCCAGCTCAGTGGGGTCTGGAAATAGCACAGCTCCTTAGGCGACAGACATTTCAGGGGCAACAAATACCCACAAAGCACCTGAGTGCTTCTGAAGGCTCACCTCTCATAGCATCTCAACCCATACTTGTTGGCCTTATTCCTCAGTATGGAGGGCACTGAGTTTTTGCTTTGCCACACTCAAGATAGATCAGTATCGGAACACAGTAGCATGGAACAAAATGCTGATTTCCCCTTCTCCCAGACAGGAAGCGGTCTCATCCACAGGGAACTTTAACTCGACTCCTCTCTCTACCCTTGCCCCCGCCACAGAACCCCAAGACCTCTACTTTTGTTGACCACGCTCTTCTCTCTTCGCCTTCCCCAGGTCTCTTCACTAATTTCAACTTCACATAGCTCAATAGTAGGCCTGGAAAAGCCTTATTCTTCCTAGAAATAATGATTTCAAGCCAGCATGAGAGGAACAATCTTTTTTTTTGTACCGGGGATTGAACTCAGGACCTTGCACTTGCAAAGCAGGCAGTGGAACCACTGAGCTAAATCCCCGGCCCAAGAGGAACAATTTTTAAAATAACATTAAAGTATATCTTATTGAATACAAATGGTATGTATATTTTCCTTATGAAAAAATCAGAACATATGGGAAAATATAAAAATCGCCCGTAATCCCACTACTCAGAAATCTGTTTATATTTAGCTATGTGCCCATACGTCTTTTAAAATTCACAGTATTTTGTTACAAAATCATGATTATCGTATGTATTATTGTTATATGGCTTTAAAAACTGTATTTTAAAAACTGTATTGGTTCCTCAGGTCTTTGTAAAACATTTCATTCCATCAAATGAATTTACCATAATGCATGTAACTACCATCTAATCTTTAGATACTTGGGATAGTTCCCTTTCTTACAATTATAGGCAATACTAGAATGAATGGGATATAAATTTATTTACTTTAAGATAAATTGTCAGAAGTAATTAGAACAAAGGCTATGAACATTTTAATGATTGTGGTTAATTATTGCCAGATTACCCCTCAAATGCAATATCCCAGTGGTGGCGAACCTATGGCAGGTGTGCTGCAGCCAGCTGTTTGTGTCTCTCACTGAAAGCTCCAAAAGGTTTGCCATCACAGGTCTATCCATTTGTACTTAGAATCATTTTAAACTGGGCTTGGCCCTGTAATATAAATCCCAAGGCCCTCCCACAGTCTTCAAGACTAGAAGCAGCCATTTGAGCAAGCCAATCCTTAGTGGCCTGTTATGGGTTTTACCTAGATGTCCCCAAAGCCTCCTGTGCTCAAAAGTGGGACTTTTGGAAGGGAATTGAATTATGGGTGCAGGACAGCTGATTGCTATTAGAAGGTGCTCAGAGGAGGCAGGCACTGTGGGCGTGGCCCAGAAGGGTGTAGCACTCTTTCTGCTTCCTGTCTGCCATTGCCGTAAGCAGCTCTCCCCCACCATGCCCTTCTGCCATACCATCCTGCCTCGGAGCCGGAGGACCACGCAAGGACTGAAACTACTAAAATGTGAGCCAAAATACACCTTTCCTCTTTTAAGTTGTGGGTGTCAGGTATTATATCTCAGCGATGAGGAGGCGACTAAGATGTGGCCCATCATTATCTAGGTTGATCTGAGAACAAACCGCAGCACCTGAAAGCACATGGCCAGCTGATGGATGTTTGGCTCTGATGGGCCATTTTACAAGATGCCTTAGGAAGGCAGGGAGTTTCATCGCGAGTCCTTCAAACTGGTGCTGAGCCACAAACCAGCCAAGATTGTAGAATGTGTCACATTCAGAAAGCATCAAGCCAATGCCAGCCCAGGCTGTGCTTCCAGATGAGCAAGGCCCTCCTTCTGGGTTTGGATACTGACTGAAGTTTTGCTTTCACGGTGACTGACACCTTCATAAGGATTCTATCAGATAAAATTCCAGGTTTTTAATTGCCAAAAGCCCAAGACCTCATCTCCTCACACCTTGGCCCCCGACAGAGAAATCCAAAGCAGAAGCTCTTTTTTTTAGAAAAAAATTGAACTGACACATAACAATTGCAGGCATTTGTGGTGTGAATCACAGTGTGATCGTTCAATACATATGTACAGTGTGTAAAGATCAGACCAGGTAAGTTGGATTTCTAGCCCCATAGATAGTTATTTCTTTGTGTTGGGACCCTTCAAACTCCTCTCTCCTAGTTTTTAATACAATAATAATAAATTGTCAGCTATTGTCACCCTACCATGCTGTGGACCACTAGACTTATCCCTCCTATCTAACTGTGTTAGTACCTATTGTCCAACTTTCTTCTATCCTCCCTTCTCTCCTCCTCTCCTTTCTGGCTTCTAGTGACCAGTATTCTGCTCTAGGTGCATGAAATCAATATTTTTAGCTTCTGTGTGGGAGTGAGATGGTCTTTTTCTGTGCTTGGCTTATTTCACTTAACATAATGTCCTCCAGTTGTGTTCATGTTGTCACAAACGACAGGATTTCATTCTCTCTTATGGCTGAATAATATTCCATGGTGTACGAATACCACCTTTCTTTACCCACGTATCTGTTAGCAGCTCCTCAGTTGATTCCCTGTCTTGACTATTGTGAATAGTGGTGCAACGAAGACAGCAGCACAAGTGTTTCTTTGAAATGCTGGCTTCATTTTTTTGGAGATAAACCCAGTAGTAGAACTGCTGGACCATGTGGTAGTTTTTAAATTTTTTGAGGAACCTCCACATGTTTTCCACATGACTAGACTAAGTTTCATCTGCCAGCAGTGTACAAGAGTTCCCAATTCTCTGCATCATCATGGTATTTGTTGTTTTGTTTATTATGGCCATTATTTTTTTATCTTTTTTCACATGGGTCATATGAGTATGTGGGGTAAAATGATGTCTCCTTGTGGTTCTGATTTGCATTTACCTGATGATAAGTGGTGTTGAACATTTTTCCATACGCTGGTTAGCCATTTGAATAACATCTTTTGAGAATATCTGTTCAGATTATTTTCCCATTTTAAGTAGCATTATTTTGTTTTGTTTGTTTTTGCTGTTGAGTCCTTTGAGATCCTTATATATTCTGGATATTTATCCTTTGT